ACATAAAGTTATCTCTTTACTTACTTACATTACGCTTAATCTTAAAATATTCACAAACATGGACAAAATTTTACAGAATAAATTATATCATTGCAACCTAACATCAGTCCATTTCGTCAGAACTAAAATCAAAGTATCAAATGTTGATAAATTTAAAAACCTATGGATATTAGAAATTAATATTCAGTAGTCTAACCTTTAGTGGAAGTTGTTAGAATTATCTCTCACGTAGAAAAATGTGAAATGATATAGCATCATGTCTGTAATCTCGACAGGGTGGGCAGAATCCAAAGCGCAACGAGTTACTGAGACCACGTAAAGCCAAAAATATAGGGTTAGATGGGAAATTTAAATGATGTGATAGATGGCTTGTAATAATTGCTGATCGTTTTGAAATCATAAACCCAAAGTTTGATTATTTGCATTTTTTGACATGCTGTGCAAGTAACACTGTTGACATGGGACATATAATTTACACGCCAAAGTGAAAATATATACAAAATTTGCAATCTTTTACAATAGGTCATGGGTGTCATTAGACGCGACACTTGGAAATGAACCCAATGTTGGGAAGTAGCATCTTCCCAATAATAACTCAAAATAATAAAAAATGCAGTTGCCAACCCGCCTGCCAAACGTGGCAGCTGTGGCAAATGTCCCCTCTACGTGGCAATCTTTATTTCCACTTATATATATCATACGCAACGTATGCAATGCATTATGACATCTGAATGCTTGATTTTGTATGAAAAACTATGCATTAGAAACACTTATCGTATGCACTTGACTGTTAAGCCGCATATGTTTCGAAATATATATCTACGTCATAACAGGATAATTTACTTTTACTGTGTGATCCTCTTTTCACAATCATCATTCATCATCATTACAACCTTTCATAAGTCCACTGCTGAACATAGGCCTCCCCCAAGGAATGTCACAAAGCACGGTCCTGAGCCACCTACATCCATCGACTTCCTGCATGTCTTACCAGGTCGTCACTCCATCTCGTGGGGGTTCTTCCTACACTTCGCCTACCGGTACGAGGCTGCCACTCAAGAACCTTTCTTCCCCATCGGTTGTCGGTTCTTCCAGCTATATGGCCGGCCCACTGCCACTTCAGCTTACTAATCCGTTGGGCTATGTCGGTTACTCTGGTTCTACTGCGGATATCCTCATTCCTAAGTTTATCACGCAGAGAAACTCCGAGCATAGCCCTCTCCATAGCTCGCTGAGCGACCTTGAGCTTCGTCATGCGGCCAGCACTGAAGGACCACGTCTTAGAATTTTTTTTTCTCTTTCTTCGCCATTCCAAATCAAGAAGCTTCAACAGTTGCAGATAAACTAGTTCATGAAGTCTTCTGTCGTATTGGAGTACCTTTAGAGATTCACAGCGATCAAGGAAGGAATTTTGAGTCTCAAATATTCCAGGAAACTTGCCGAGTTATGGGTACTCATAAAACATTAACAACTTCTTACCGACATTGGAGAGGTACCTAACAAAATTTGTGGAAAAATGGCAACGAGACTGGGACAGGCACATACAACCGTTTTTGTTGTCATATCGAAGCGCTGTTCACGAAAGTACATCAGTGACACCAGCTTTCGCAAACTTTAGAATAGAATTACGTCTGCCTGCAGACCTGAACACCGGAATACCACCTGATGCCCCACGCAGTATAACCGATTATGCAAATTACTTGCGGAACAAAATGAATGACATTTATGAGCACGTTAGACAGACGGGCCAGCAAACGTCTGAGAAGATGAAAACACGGTATGACCGCAAAATGAACACCAAAGGGTTTGACGAAGGTTCACTAGTGTGGTTACACAATCCAGCTCGCAGCAAAGGGAAATCTCCTAAGCTTCAAGCTAAATGGGACGGACCGTGCCGGATTGTGACAAGGATCAATGATGTAACCTACCGGATACAGAAAGGTGCCAGAGGTACTCCTAAGATCGTCCATGTGGATCGACTGGCGCGTTATTATGGGGCCAATAATGCTCGGGACGAGCATGTCTTTGGAGGGGGCAGTATTGCGCGCCACTATTAATGTCTTGTATATGGCAACACTAGTTACACTAGCGCCCTCTAGTGTCGAGTAGCAGAACTAGGAGCGTCAAGATCCTTCCAGAAATTTCGGGACCGATACGAGTATGTACTCGAACATTATAGATGTCGCTACAGTACAAGATTCTGGAAACTATCTGAGGCCCTATATAAGGCCGGTATAGACCACGACCGAGGCAGTATTGAATTGGCGATACAAGAGAATACTTCGAAGCGAAATAACTGCGAACTAAAGTGATTGTGTTTTATTATTAGTGTGATTTTAAGTTGTAATTAGTGTTGTGTAATTAAATAATCAATTTTGGTAATTCACTCGGCAGGTTTTAATTATCTCGAACCTCAAGCTCGTAACAATTGGTGTCAGAAGTGGGATCAAATCATGCCGATTTTACCAAAGGACAACATGGAGGGTATCCGTACCCGAAGTTAACGCCAACTGAAAACGGACCAGAGACGATTTGGTAATACAACGCCGCAAACATCGGAGGGCCAGCTGCTGACCACGGAGGCCGGTCCGTCATCAGCTCCTGCATCTACAGCACCTGACTTAGGTGCTCTGATGATGATGCTGCAGGAACAGGCTCACCGACAGGAGGAACAGGCCCGTTGGTTGGAAGAGCAGCTGCAGCGCGGACAGGAGGGACAGGCCCGTCGGTTGGAAGAACAGCTGCAGCGCGGACAAGAGGAACAGGCCCTTCAACAGGAGGAACAGGCCCGCGAAAAGGAAGAACAGGGCCGTCAGTTGGAAGAGCAGCTCAAACGCAATAAGGAAGAGCAGATACTTCTCATGAAGGACCTTCACGCTACCTTCGGGAAAGAGATAAGGGAGGTGAAGGATAAGGTTGCTCAATATGACAACCGCCTGTCGGAAGCTGAAACCCGAATCGACAGAGTGTACAATCGGGTTGACAACGTGATGGCTGAAGTGAAGAAAACGCTGGACGACCTCAAACTTGGGGATGGAGTTACAGCTCCCGTGGTAGCTACAACACCTTCGCTACGTGGATTCAAATTGCCGCCGTTCGACGGGACTTCTTCCTGGTCGGCCTACAAAATCCAATTCGAGGATCTCATGAAGGCGAACGGCTGGAATAAAAGTCAGACCATGACTGCTCTCACCCTAGGCCTACGCGACCAGGCATTAACTGTTCTGGAAGCTCTCGTTAAGGAAGTGACTTACGAGCAGCTCCTTGAGGCATTGGAGGCGAGATATGGCGATGCTCACCTTGAACACGTCTTTCGTGCGCAGCTCAAAGATCGCGTGCAACGCAGTAACGAAAACCTGCAGCAGTGGGCCCTTGAGGTGGAGAAGCTGGTTCGAAAAGCGTATCAGTCTGTACCTGCGCCCATTGTAGGGTACCTGGTGCAGACATTCATCGACGGCATCCGCGACCTTGAAGTCAGAGCTGCTGTGAGGCTCGGGCACCACGAGACGCTTAAGGACGCCTTGACCCATGCACTGGAGGTGGAAGCCGTGCGGCAGGATCATCGTTCCCACCACGTCAGGGAGATTGCAGCAGCTACAGTTCATGACCGCAATAAGGGCTACAGCCCTAGGTGCTACGGCTGTGGGGAAAGGGGCCATTTTCGATCCAGCTGCCCTAAACGAACTGTAACAAGGGAAGGTGGATCGGTCTCGAGAGGGTAGTGTGGCTGACAGCACCGCCCAGCAGCAGCAGGGAAACTGGCGGGTGCTGGCTGATGTTAAAAGAGCCCCAAGGATTTCGATCTCACAAACCCGTTTTGAAAACAGCTTGATCATCAAAGGCGAGGTCAACGGAAAGCCGTGTAAACTGACCATAGGCACTGGAGCCTCTCGCAAGGTTGTCAGTTCCCAACTTATAAATCAGTTTCTTGGGGACTCCGCATACAACCGCGAACGCCTTAATTTGGAGACAGCCACCGGTCAGCGCATACCCGTCCGTGGAGAGAAGGAGATGGAGTTGAAGCTAGGCAACATGATCTACCTGCATAATGTCATCGTGGTTGATATAATGGACGACTGCATCCTGGGCCTAGACTTTATGAGGAAGAATTGTTGTGAGATCGACGTTAAGCATGGTGTTTTGAAATGTGGACAAGAGGAACTTTTCGTGGAAGGGGCGTTACCAGGGAATGTGTACAACCTTAAGAAGATTGTTCTTCCGCCAGTTAGTCTTCCTCAGAGTCCTGGGCAAGCTCATCTTTGTGTACTCGTGGAAAGGGTAGACAATGACCTTCCATGGAAAGTGGCTCGAAACTTGGTCAGAACCACCGACATCTCAGGAGTACGTGTGTTGAACCTTTGTGATCAGGAACAGATTATAGAAAAAGGCACATTGGTTGGTACTAGTGAGGAAGTGGATTGGTTGCGTCGGTGCGAATATCTATCGACTGGGACCCCCAGCAAGGATGGACAAACGAGAGTGACCACACTTTAGAAGACTGTCGCAGTGTTCTCTCCCCGAATGAAATGAAGAAGAAGTTGTTACTCAAGTACGCCAATGTTTTCTCATCAAACGAAGCTGACATAGGAAAGACTGGCTTAGTTCAACACAAAATAAACACAGGACAAGAATTGCCTATTCGTCAGCGGCCAAGAAGATTGCCTGTAGCACGTGAAAAGGAAGTGGAAACCATGATTGAGGGAATGGTAAAGGATGGTGTTATTGAACCTTCATCTAGTCCATGGTATTTACCTGTGGTGCTGGTAAAGAAGAAGGACAGCAGTATGCGGTTTTGTGTTGACTACCGCCGCCTGAACGACGTTACGAAAAAGGACAGCTATCCCTTGCCAAGAATTGATGACACGCTGGACATGCTTACAGGCGTGAAGTGGTTTATTACGCTGGACCTGAAAAGTGGCTACTAGCAGGTTGGAATTGACCCTAAGGACAAGGAGAAAACTGCATTCTCCACAGGAAAGGGTCTGTGGCAATTTAAAGTCATGCCGTTTGGTTTGTGCAATGCTCCAGCAACGTTTGAAAGGTTGATGGAGCTTGTACTTACCGGGCTAATTGGAGATGCCTTTCTGGTCTATTTAAATGACATCATCATCGTAGGCCGTACGTTTGACGAACACCTTCAAAACCTGGAACGCGTACTCATGAAGATCCAGAGTGCCAACCTCAAGTTGAGTCCGAAGAAGTGTTCACTATTCAAACGGCAAGTTAGTTTTTTGGGGTATGTAGTGTCGGAAGAAGGTATCCGCACGGATCCAGAGAAAATTGCCGCTGTCAAGGAGTGGCCGGTTCCAAAAGACAAGACACAGGTTAAAGCATTTTTGGGTTTGTGCTCTTATTATCGGCGATTTGTGAAGAACTTTGCAGATATAGCCAAACCTCTGCACAAGCTAACCGAGGAGAAGCGACATTTCTGCTGGGATGAAAGTTGCGATATTGCATTCCAGGAGCTCAAGAACCGTTTGTGCAAAACACCTATTTTGGGGTACCCTGATGCGGGCAAGGAATTCATAGTTGACATAGACGCAAGTGATATAGGACTTGGCGGTGTGTTGTCTCAACGGAATGGTGATCAAGAGATTGTGATAGCGCACTTCAGCAAGTCGTTGTCAAAGCCTGAAAGGAACTATTGTGTCACAAGACGAGAATTGCTTGCTGTGGTAAAGTCCTTGCAGCATTTTAGCAAATATCTCCTGGGGCGGAAATTCTACTTACGAACTGACCATGCTGCACAGAAATGGCTATTGCAGTTCAAAAATCCAGAAGGACAAGTTGCGAGATGGATTGAACTACTACAGGAATACGACTTTGTGATCGAATATCGCAGCGGGAAATCTCATGGCAATGCAGATGCATTATCAAGAAGCCCTTGCCCTGAAGATTGCAAGCATTGTACTATGCAAGAGGGTAAAGAAGTGGTATCTGTGAGGATATTCAAGACAGACCAGCTCAGCAATGATTGGAAGGACAGCCTACAACATGCACAGCAGGAAGATTCGGCCACTAAACCGATTCTGGAATGGATGAAAGCCAGTGCTCCTAAACCCAAGAGGAGCGACGTCTCAGCAATGAGTTCGACCACGAAAAGCTATTGGGCCCAATGGGACAGCTTGCTGATTCAGGATAGAGTTCTGTGACGTAAATGGGAAAATGGTCGGGGAGACAGGTATCATTTGCAAATGGTTGTCCCTAAGGCTAAAGTGCCGGATGTTCTACAGCTGTACCATAGTGGTTATTAAGGAGGCCACCTGGGAGTTAAACGAACTCTCCTGAAGATCCGAGAACGGTTTTACTGGGTCCACTGTCGTGACGATGTCGAGGACTGGTGCCGCAAATGTACAAGTTGTGCGGCTGTAAAGGGACCTCAAATTCGTAGTAGAGGCGCATTGAAATTGTACAATGTTGGTGCATCATGGGAGAGGATAGCCATTGACGTTGCGGGGCCGTTTCCGGAAAGTGAAAGTGGTAACAAGTGTTTCATGGTTGTGATGGATTACTTCACTAAGTGGCCAGAAGTCTTCGCCATTCCAAATCAAGAAGCTTCAACAGTTGCAGATAAACTAGTTCATGAAGTCTTCTGTCGTATTGGAGTACCTTTAGAGATTCACAGCGATCAAGGAAGGAATTTTGAGTCTCAAATATTCCAGGAAACTTGCCGAGTTATGGGTACTCATAAAACATTAACAACTTCTTACCACCCACAATCTAATGGAATGGTAGAACGATTTAATCAGACATTGGAGAGGTACCTAACAAAATTTGTGGAAAAATGGCAACGAGACTGGGACAGGCACATACAACCGTTTTTGTTGTCATATCGAAGCGCTGTTCACGAAAGTACATCAGTGACACCAGCTTTCGCAAACTTTAGAATAGAATTACGTCTGCCTGCAGACCTGAACACCGGAATACCACCTGATGCCCCACGCAGTATAACCGATTATGCAAATTACTTGCGGAACAAAATGAATGACATTTATGAGCACGTTAGACAGACGGGCCAGCAAACGTCTGAGAAGATGAAAACACGGTATGACCGCAAAATGAACACCAAAGGGTTTGACGAAGGTTCACTAGTGTGGTTACACAATCCAGCTCGCAGCAAAGGGAAATCTCCTAAGCTTCAAGCTAAATGGGACGGACCGTGCCGGATTGTGACAAGGATCAATGATGTAACCTACCGGATACAGAAAGGTGCCAGAGGTACTCCTAAGATCGTCCATGTGGATCGACTGGCGCGTTATTATGGGGCCAATAATGCTCGGGACGAGCATGTCTTTGGAGGGGGCAGTATTGCGCGCCACTATTAATGTCTTGTATATGGCAACACTAGTTACACTAGCGCCCTCTAGTGTCGAGTAGCAGAACTAGGAGAGTCAAGATCCTTCCAGAAATTTCGGGACCGATACGAGTATGTACTCGAACATTCTAGATGTCGCTATAGTAGAAGATTCTGGAAACTATCTGAGGCCCTATATAAGGCCGGTATAGACCACGACCGAGGCAGTATTGAATTGGCGATACAAGAGAATATTTCGAAGCGAAATAACTGCGAACTAAAGTGATTGTGTTTTATTATTAGTGTGATTTTAAGTTGTAATTAGAGTTGTGTAATTAAATAATCAATTTTGGTAATTCACTCGGCAGTTTTTAATTATCTCGAACCTCAAGCTCGTAACAATGGGATAAGTGTTTCTAATGCATAGTTTTTCATACAAAATCAAGCGTTCAGATGTCATAATGCATTGCATACGTTGCGTATGATATATATATATAAGTGGAAATAAAGATTTCCACATAGAGGGGACATTTGCCACAGCTGCCACGTTTAGCAGGCGGGTTGGCAACTGCATTTTTTATTATTTCGAGTTGTTATTGGGAAGATGCTACTTCCCAACATTGGGTTCATTTCCCAGTGTCGCGTCTAATGACACCCATGACCTATTGTAAAAGATTGTAAATTTTGTATATATTGTCACTTTGGCGTGGAAATTATAGGTCCCTTGTCAACAGTGTTACTTGCACAGCATGTCAAAAAATGCAAATAATAAAAGTTTATGATTTCAAAACGATCAGAAAACATTACAAGCCATCTATCACATCATTTAAATTTCCCATCTAACCCTATATTTTTGGCTTTACGTGGTCTCAGTAACTCGTTGCGCTTTGGATTCTGCCCACCCTGTCGAGATTACTGACATGATGCTATATTTCATTTCACATTTTTCTACGTGAGAGATAATTCTAACAACTTCCACTAAAGGTTAGACTACTGAATATTAATTTCTAATATCCATAGGTTTTTAAATTTATCAACATTTGATACTTTGATTTTAGTTCTGACGAAATGGACTGATATTAGGTTGCAATGATATTAATTTATTCTGTAAAATTTTGTCCATGTTTGTGAATATTTTAAGATTAAGCGTAATGTAAGTAAGTAAAGAGATAACTTTATGTTAGCTTCTTATAAATCAGAAGATATTAGATATTAAAACTATAAAAACAAAACTATAAAAGGTCTGCTTGGATAAAATGTTTCAACATCAAAGTGCTTAGCTCTTTCCAAGATTAGTATCGGGGATTAAAGCTCTGCAAGATATACATTTGTTTCTCGTTTGATGAATATTAATAACCTAGATTCTTCTCTCTGATATTAAATTAAAATTTTGTTTTAAAATTTCATTTTAATAAAATGAATATACCTTACATAGCGCACAAAAATTTGTCAAGTTTTATTCTAGTACGCTAATTTATCTTCTGATAATCTTAATAGATTACTAAACCGTTTAGTTAGTTTAGTTTAAGAATATCAACTATCCCAATTAATTCAGTGGGTGTCGTAAGAGGAAATTAAATAGGTAATGGTCAGCAGTATCTTTTTGATAACAACTCAAAGTTATAAAAAAATGCCGTTGCCAACTCTCTAGCCAAGCGTGGCACATATTGTAAATATTCCTTCTACAAGGCAATCTAAGGGAAGGCCTATATTCAGCAGTGGACATTTGATAAGCTGTGATGTTGATGATGAATCTAAATATGTTTGTACATAAATTTCCATTTTTAGGGATAGCGCATCAAATAAAGATTTTGACGGATATTACCAACAGGTAGGATGATGATCCGACTGGTAGGATGATGCAGTGAAGCGATTACTGCTGTGCGTGTGACTCATCAATTATTCTTAATTCAATATTAAAAAACTGAAGAGTGAAAAATGTGTGTGAAAAGTGAAGGGTTTTTGCACACGAATATGATCGATTTAATGCATTGAGAGGCATTTTTGTTTATACTTTTAAGCACTTTATTATATTCTAACTCACCCACACGATTTGTTCCTTCCACATCAAAGTTAACTGTTGGAGAAGGGTATCTCTCGTTGCCTGTTGAAGGAAGGATTTACCTTAATCGTCATACTTGACAGGTGAATCGCAGATCCAAACATCTCGCATCTTTGACGTTGCTCTTCGTCGTTTGGAGAGAAAAAAGTAACCAGTATTTTAGTCAACTTCAGAAACCACAGATGCATTATAATCTCTAAGGATCTTACCCTGTGTGATCTCAGCTTATATTTAAGTGAGTTATTTAACCTTTCGAACCAGAACCCAACAGTAGATATACCGGTGCAGTATCAACCCAATCGAATTTCCAGCTTGAAGAAAACTTGAGATATCTATTACGTTTTTTTATTATAAAAATACACTTTTTAATAGAATCATGCAGAAAATACATAAAAGTTACTAATATCTAAGAAATCATAATAGTTATGAACTAAAATAAAGACCTATTCCTGTCTATTCTATACCATGTTGCAGATTTTTACAAGAGCAAACTTGCTTCGGAGTGATATACACATATTAAATTGTGGCTACATTTTACGATTTTTAGTGCCATTGGGGCCACTACTGCTTACAAAAGTATTTACGAGTTAAAACATCTTTGAAGCAAGAAACAGCTGGGAAGAATTTTTAAAAATAAATATCATTGCATAAGTAAGTATAACAACAAGCGTAAATACCCAAAAGCCGTGCAATGGTGGTTTAAAAATAACCAGTACCCCATATAGTCCCACGGGTGTCGTAAAATCTCTTAGGAGGCAATCTATGGCGGACGCCCATGTTCAGTAGTAGACTTTAATAGCCTAGAACGGACAATAAACTTAATATCCAAAACGATGAGGGAAGCAGTGTCATAGGTGTGATTTCTTCTTCTTCATCATCAGCCCCTCTATGATGCTCAGTGTATTACTGGACCGTACTAAGAATTTCTTGACGGAAAAACTCAATAACTGATTTTTTTGGCCCGACCCGGGTTTCGGAACCTGGTATCTCATGATCAGCAGTTGCGTACAGAAACACCAGACCAACGAGGCAGTCAGACTACAATCATAAGCCTCACAGCTATGATAATACTGGCACCCTATACCCTGCAGACCGGAGCACAGCAATGTAAGCACTGCTATTTACGAGGGGCGCACTGAAATGATCGGGACTAAGTAAAACCACATGCGCGGTATAGCTAAATAGTATTTTATTGTTTTTTGAAGTATACTCCGTTCAACTTAATGCACTTTTCCATTCGTGCAAACCAACCACTAAAACAGTAATTCCAGTCTGAAGTTGATGTTGGCATAATGACTGATTCGTACGCTTCCACAGCTGCTTCGGGGTATTCAAACCGTTGACCGCGTAATAAATCTTTTCAGTTGTTTGGGGTTGAATTTTCTCCGAACCTCGACTATGGGTGGTTCATTGAGTCTGTCTGAAAATATTATATTTAACAAATCAAATCACTTTGACTTTATATTTGACACGTTGTAGAACCATGCTGTAGCTATATTATGGTTGTAGCACAACGAGGTCAGCTTAACCGCTGAAAGACCAAGCTGTTATAGAATACCAGCGTATTTCAAATGGTGAGTAAATTTCTATTTACTGATTCTTAGAGGCTCTTTTACATAATACGGGTATCTAAGGCCTTGGGTATGGAAACATGTCTGCATTTTGATTCTTAACCGAGTAAATATGATGTATCTAAAGACAAGTGCAGCATTTACCATCGAGTGCATTGCTTGCGTGATTCTTTGAAAGATACTAAAATGTATCACTGTTTGTTAACCTTCGTATGGGTTTGCATTGTTATCAATTTCTGTAAACAAGCAGCAATGTACCTGATGTGTCCTCATTTGAAAGGTGAAAGAGCCATCTTAATAAAATTCTGGAAAAAAAGATACGGATATTCTTAGACTTATTCCTAAACGAAAACGCATATGTTGCCTTATTTGTTAAAAGTTGGTTGCAGCTGTTGATGATTCACAAATGATCTACTTACTATAAGGTGAACTTTTAGTTTTTTAGCACTCTATTAATTTATAAAAATGTTACACCATGTAGTGTACTAATTAATTATGTAAGGATTATTTTATTAATAAGACCTTAACGTTAAATAGAGCTTGACAATGAATAAAATATTTTAGGAAAGTAATTATCATGCGATATTTTACGTAATAAAATCATACTAAAGATGTTAAAAACTTGTAGTGGCAGTGTAAGAATATCCACTGTCATTCCGTGGAGTGTCGTAAGAGGTGACAGAGGCATATAAATCAGGAGACGGCAGCATCTTCCTAGTAACGACTAAAATTAAAAAATGCGGTAGCTAACCCGCTTGCCAAGTGTCGCAACTATGGCAAATATCACTTCTATGAGGCAATCTATGGAGGAGGCCTATATTCAGCAGTGCTGTAACAGTAACAGTAACGGTAAAGATGTTCAAATTATTCGGCTAAAATCCGCATGAAAAATTATGTCTCTTATCTAGTTTTTAGAGCACCTCCCGCCTTTAATTGTGTGCACTATCACCGTCACTACTTATCCCAATACAAATATTACACTAGACTCCTGAGTCTATTTCTCGAGATGAAGCCTTTAGAGGCGAAACATGTGTCATTGTTTTTGACGGTAGTATGTTTTTATTTGTTGTGTTATTGAGGTAGTAGTGTTTAGTATACTCTTTCAACTAGATGAGACACAAAATTTTTATCATTCAAGCGGATCTTAGATTCTATAGTTACATCTTTAATAAAATATTTTAATATGTTTTATAATAAGGAAGAGTTAGGAAAAAGTCATAAAATTATTGATTCGCGTAATCCATAAAACACACGTCAGATAATAAAGCCTCAAGCTTTATTTTTTTACATCTATCCTCGTTTGCGAATGAAAATGCAGATGCGTTGTCACCCGTGGGGACTAAAATGGAATGCCTCGTTTCCAGTAAAACGGGTCTCCGGTTCTCTACACTCACCACACGAAACACAGCAGTGTTAAGCTGCTATTTTACGCTGGTATTCTGTGAGAGCGTGGTCCTTTCCCGGTCGAGTTCATGCTACAACTATACTACTAATACAGCTGCAGCATGGCTCTACCACGTTTAAAATTTTACAAAGGCAATTTTACATTTTATGTTGCGAGCTTCTATGATGTTAAAATTTTTCGTGTAGTCATAGTAAAACGCACGGTGGTGGACCGCCAAGCATCTAGATGGTGTAGATGGTATCGTGAGTTTTATTGCGATGTGCATTCGAGAAAATTGGCGGCTGGAATTAATCAGTACAATTCCCGTGGTAAATGCAATAGAAAACGCCAGTGAATCGAGCCTATAGGATAGAACACAGTCGTCAACGATTCGAGCCGCTCTGCGCTCGATGTGATCAAGTGGAAGGAGCTGACGCAGGGTTGCCCCAACCCAGAAATTAGAACAGTACTCCATGTGAGGTATGGCCGGCATAAAAAGCATCACCTGTGCTGTCATCCACATAGCAATGAACGCTACTGGTTTGCAACATATCAGAAGGAACAGCGTAGGTGATAGCACACAGCCTTATGGAAAACCAGCCTTGATAGGCTTGTAATCGGAGCATGCATCATCTACTACGACCTTGATGTTCCGATCAGGGAGAAAAGTAGTGATCTAATTGCACAATTTCTCGGGAAGCCCATAAGATGGAATCTTCGGAAGAAGCGTTTTGTGCCAAACTCGATCGATGGTCTTAGCTATGTCCAATCTAACTGCCAAAGCCTCCTCCTTTGATTTGATTTATTGCGCCGATAGCTGAGTTAGGTACACAAGAAGATCGTTATTTTCGAAACCAAGGAGGTGATTGCGATTGGCCTGTAGTTGGACAGATTAGGTCGGTTACCTTTTTAGGGATTAGTGACACGAAAGCTGTCTTCCATGAATTTGGGACAACACCTAGTGAGTAGGTGTACCAGAAAATACGCGTTTGAACTGATGCCTGCTTTGGAGTCGTACTCAGAATAATTTTTGAGATTCCGTCAGGCTTGTGGATGTTCAGGGAGTGGAGTGCTTTGCGTATTGAGCACTGTGTAAATTGCACAAGGGTCTAGTACCCTCCTGGTATAATATCTTATTTATTTCCGCTACCAAGTTGATAAGATGGTGGGGGATTGGACGAAAAGCAGAAGCAGAGCTTACGCTGGTATTTTGTAAAGTCGTGGTGCCCGGCTTGAGCCGTCCCACATGTGCAAAAGCAAAAGCTACCGCGTGGCTTTACCGCTGTTAAAATGCTGAGTGTAGAGAAATGGAGAGCATTTTACTGAAAACGAGACATTTTACCTTAGTTCTCAAGGGTGACAACCTATCTATATTTAGATTCGTAATCAAGGATAGATGTAGATTTCAATGAGCCACATTATCCCCTTATCATCAGTTGAATTATGTGCTCATTTTTCACTCTTATTCTAAAAAAAACGTAGTACAGATGATAAACGATACCATTTGATCATCATCATCATCATCATTACATACCTTCACAAGTTCACTGCTGAACATAGGCCTCCCCCAAGAAATGCCACAATGGCACCTATTGATAATATATTTTAAATACTTTTTTAATAAATTACATAAAGTACAATCTACCGTATCTTTGTAGTTATGTAGACCACTCTCTCACAGAATACCAGCTTAATACTGCTGTGTTTCGTATGGTGAGTGTAGAGAACCGGAGGCCCTTTTTACTGGAAATGAGGCATTCCATCTTAGTCCTCACAGCTGACAACGCATCTGCATTTCAATTTGCAAACGAAGATAGATGTAGATGTCTATGGGCCACATAAACCACTTACCATCAGGTGGACTGTGTGCTCATTTGTCAATCCTATAAAAAAAATTAAGTAATAATACATAAAATTCAGTATTTGAACAGTGGTAACAACAACAACAGAACATGTATATTATTTTCTTTCACAGTACGGCATATTCATTGTGTTCGAACTGTCATTTGTATGTGTGTGAGTTTACACATTTGAACAACTGTATGACCTAACAGCTTCAGCTATGTTCCGATCCAACAAAGGACTTATATGTTTGTCAAAGAAACAATATAGTTTTAAATAATTATTTAATATATTTAATTATTTAAATAGTTATAAATTATTCCACTCCTTTGCTGTACGCATTACAAAAGACAAAGCAATCCGTTTGGTTCTAATGCCTGGAATATCGACAACAAAGGGGTGAAGACCCGCCGACCGCCTGCCAGGTGGCATTTTGTAGTACCAGCCTATATGTTACAGCAGTACTCCATGCATGATTTATAGACGGTAAGACGTTGCCCCAGCGTGAAGTTCCGCCGCACCCTTGCAAGAATGCCAAGTTTCCTTGCGGCAGCTTTGGCTCTAGACTCAATGAACCGCCCATAGTTGAGGTTTGGAAAAAATTCAACCCCAAACAACTGAAAGCGTTCAGTGTACTCCAAGGATAAGATGTATTGTAAGAAATACACATGTATGATGACTCTCCTGGCAAACATCAGACAACATCACGATAATGCGAGCTCCCGTAAAGCTCTGAAGACAAATTATTTTTGAAGCAGGAAAACGTTGAGCTGATAAGCCATCCTCCGTACAGTCCTGACCTGAGCCCAAACAATTTCTTTACATTCCCTAGAATGAAAGATTTATTACGTGGTCAACGGTTTGAGTACCCCGAAGCAGTTGTGGAAGCGTACGAATCAGCCATTTTGTCAACATCAACTTCAGACTGGAATTACTGTTTTAGTGATTGGTTTGCACGAATGGAAAAGTGCATTAAGTTGAACGGAGAATACTTCGAAAAACAATAAAATACTATTTAGCTATAGCGCGCATGTGGTTTTACTTATTCCCGATCAATTCAGTGCGCCCCTCGTAAATAGCAGTGCTTGCATTGCTGTGCTCCAGTCTCCAGTGTATAGGGTGCCAGTATTATTATAGCTGTGAGGCTTATGATTCTAGTCTGACTGCCTCGTTGGTCTGGTGGTTGTGTACGCAACTGCTAATCATGAGATACCGGGTTCCGAATCCCGGGTCGGGCCAAAAAAATCAGTTATTGAGTTTTTCCGTTAAGAAATTCTTAGTACGGTCCAGCAATAGACTGAGCATCATAGACGGGCTGATGAAGAAGAAGAAGAAATCTTACCTATGACACTGCTTCCCTCATCGTTTTGAATATTAAGTTTCCTTTCCGTTCCAGGCTATTAAAGTCTACTGCTGAACATGCGCGTCCGCCATAGATTGCCTCCTAAGGGATTTTACGGCACCCACGGGACTATATGGGGTACTGGTTATTTTTAAACCACCACTGAACGGCTTTTGTGTATTTACGCTTGTTGTTATACTTACTTATGCAATGATATTTATTTTAAAAAAATCTTCCCAGCTGTTTCTCGCTTCAAAGATGTTTTAACTCGTAAATACTTTTGTAAGCAGGAGTGACTGCAATGACACTGAAAATCGTAAAATGTAGCCACAATTTAATATGTGTATATCACTCCGAAGCAAGTATGTTCTTGTAAAAATCTGCAACATGGTATAGAATAGATAGGAATAGGTCTTTATTTTAGTTCATAAACATTATGATTTCTTAGATATTAGTAACTTTTATGTATTTTCTGCATGATTCATATTAAAAAGTGTATTTTTATAATAAAAAAAGTCTCAAGTTTTCTTCAAGCTGGAAATTCGATTGGGTTGATACTGCCCTTCTACTTTCTACTGATGCTTAACACCGGTATATCTACTGTTAGGTTCTGGTTCGAAAGGTTAAATAACTCATTGGTATTTAACTTTTCGAAATTCACTTAAATATAGGCTGAGATCACACAGGGTAAGATCCTTAGAGATTATAATGCATCTATGGTTTCTGAACTTGACTAAAATACTGGTTACTTTTTTCTCTCCAAACGACGAAGAGCAACGTCAAAGATGCGAGATGTTTGGATCTGCGATTCACCTGTCAAGTATGACGATTAAGGTAAATCCTTCCTTCAACAGGCAACGAGAGATACCCTTCTCCAACAGATAACTTTGATGTGGAAGGAACAAATCGTGTGGGTGAGTTAGAATATAATAAAGTGCTTAAAAGTATAAACAAAAATGCCTCTCAATGCATTAAATCGATCATATTCGTGTGCAAAAACCCTTCACTTTTCACACACATTTTTCACTCTTCAGTTTTTTAATATTGAATTAAGAATAATTGATGAGTCACACGCACAGCAGTAATCGCTTCACTGCATCATCCTACCAGTCGGATCATCATCCTACCTGTTGGTAATATCCGTCAAAATCTTTATTTGATGCGCTATCCCTAAAAATGGAAATTTATGTACAAACATATTTAGATTCATCATCAACATCGCAGCTTATGAAATGTCCACTGCTGAATATAGGCCTTCCCTTAGATTGCCTTGTAGAAGGAATATTTACAATATGTGCCACGCTTGGCTAGAGAGTTGGCAACGGCATTTTTTTATAACTTTGAGTTGTTATCAAAAAGATATTGCTGACCATTACCTATTTAATTTCCTCTTACGACACCCACTGAATTAATTGGGATAGTTGATATTCTTAAACTAAACTAACTAAACGGTTTAGTAATCTATTAAGATTATCAGAAGATAAATTAGCGTACTAGAATAAAACTTGACAAATTTTTGTGCGCTGTGTAAGGTATATTCATTTCATTAAAATGAAATTTTAAAACAAAATTTAAATTTAATATCAGAGAGAAGAATCTAGGTTATTAATATTCATCAAACGAGAAACAAATGTATATCTTGCAGAGCTTTAATCCCCGATACTAATCTTGGAAAGAGCTAAGCACTTTGATGTTGAAAAATTTTATCCAAGCAGACCTTTTATAGTTTTGCTTTTATAGTTTTAATATCTAATATCTTCTGATTTGAAAGAAGCTAACATAAAGTTATCTCTTTACTTACTTACATTACGCTTGTTCTTAAAATATTCACAAACATGGACAAAATTTTACAGAATAAATTACATCATTGCAACTTAATATTAGTTCATTACGTCAGAACTGAAATGAAAGTCATTATCACCTGTTGATATATTCAAAAACCTATGGATATTAGAAATTATTATTTAGTTGTCTAACCCATAGTGAAAGTTGCTAGAATTTTCTCTCGTGTACAAAAATGTGAAATGAAATATAGCGTCATGCCTGTAATCTCGACAGGGTAGACAGAATTCAAAGCGCAACGAGTCCAAAAACAACTCAGACCACGTATAGCCAAAAATATAGGGTTAGATGGGAAATTTAAATGATGTGATAGATGGCTTGTAATGTTTGCTGATCGTTTTCAAATCATGAACCCAAAGTTTTATTATTTGCATTTTTTGACATGCTGTGCAAGTAACACTGTTGATAAGGGACCTATAATTTCTACGCCAAAGTGAAAATATATACAAAATATGCAATCTTTTACAATAGGTCATGGGTGTCATTAGATGCGACACTGGGGAATGAACCCAATGTTGGGAAGTAGCATCTTCCCAATAATAACCCAAAATAATAAAAAATGCAGTTGCCAACCCGCCTGCCAAGCGTGGCAGCTGTGGGAAATGTCCTCTCTACGTGGCAATCTTTATTTCTACTTATATATATTTATATATATGTATATATATATATGTATATATATATATATATATATATATATATATATATATATATATATATATATATATATCAATACGCAACGTATGCAATGCATTATGACATCTGAACGCTTGAATTTGCATGAAAAACTATGCATTAGAAACACTTATCGTATGTGACGCAATCACACTCGTCCGACGCAACGTCGATCTGCGATGTCAAGTTCGGCGTGGGAAGTGGAGGGGATGTTCGTACTCAATCCCACTAGTGTTGCCAACTTAGTGGATTTTCCACTAAAACTGGTGGTTTCGACCCTCCTTTTAGTGGAGATATATTGCTTTTAGTGGTGCGAAATTTCTCCAGCTGGTGTTTATTTCTAATCGGTCAGTAGAATTACGTTTCAATTTGTAGAAAGAGAAAAATAAACTGAGACGTGGTCCTTCACTGCTGGCCATATGAGGAAGCTCAAGGTCGCTCAGCGACCTAAGGAGAGGGCTATGCTCGGAGTTTCACTGCGTGATATACTTAGGAATGAGGATATCCACAGTAGAACCAGAGTAACCGACATAGCCGGATTAACGGATTAGTAAACTGAAGTGGCAGTGGGCCGGTCATATAGCTCGAAGAACCGACAACCGATGGGGAAGAAAGGTTCTTGAGTGGCAGCCTCGTACCGGTAGGCGAAGTGTAGGGCGACCCCCCACGAGATGGAGTGACGGCCTGGTAAGACATGCAGGAAGTCGATGGATGCAGTTGGCTCAGGACCGTGCTTTGTTGCATTCCTTGGGGGAGGCCTATGTTCAGCAGTGGACTTATGAATGGCTGTAATGATGATGAATGATGATTGTGGAAAGATGATCACTTGACTGTTAAGCCGCATATGTTTCGAAGTATATATCTACGTCATTACAGGAGAATTTACTTTTACTGTAATGACGTAGATATATACTTTACTGTGTAGTAAAAGTGATTCATCAGACATGACGTGCGTCAGACGATCCATCCCATTTGAATTAAAATTTGAGCTATTAGTGACTTTTATGATTACTCTGTGATAAAAAACAAGCAGAGGAATAGAATGAAATTAAATGAAAAAATCTTTTATATCTTAATTATCTTTAACTGTCATAATAAGAATACGCTGCAGTATGAGTTTGGCAGGAAAATATTGCAACGAAATGGAAATTCCGATAAGCGTTGTAAAACAAATTATACCAAAAATCATATCAATCTGTGACTGAAGTTGATGGTGTCGACAAACATGATTCATCTGAAGAAGATGATTTAATTTAAAATAACAGTTGATTACTATAGTATTTGTTTATTTACATAGAAATTTCATATTTAGTTACATAGAATGTAATAATAAAATTAAACAATCAGTAATATGTATATCTTTTTTTTTCTTTCGTAATAAGAAAAAAATATTTAGTAGAAAATTTAGGAATTACGAGTTTAGGGTTGCTTTTCGTTAGTGGTTTTCTGGTGGATTTATAAGTTGAATCTGGTGGAGAGCTGGTTTACTTATTGACAATACTGCGTACGTTGCACACGTAGGTCAAGTGTGTTCACTAACGTAGGAGCCTTTCATCGCATACGTTGCGTACTTATGACTAGTCCGTCCCTACCTTTAATGTACTAATATATGCTATTATTTCAGAAAATAATATCTTCGGCTAAGGTTGAAAAGCAGCACCCACATCTCGGTAGTGTAACTAATAATGTAATGGTTTTGAAGCTATTTTAGATCTTTTTATACCTTAAATGGAAATTTTAAAAAACAATATAGCAAACATCCGCCAACTTATAAGAACTTTCAAATTAATGTAAACGATTGAAGATAATATTAGGTTTCTGGAAACTTCATTTACAATATTGGTTTTTAAATGATTCAAATATTGACAGTAACTTGTTTTATGAGCATCTTTCTATGAGAGGATCATGGATTGGTTTATTATAAAGGAAATGTAACGAGATAGTCTTGTTATAATCTTTTTTTTCTTTTTAAAAACGTTCCCCCACACTAGGATTTTCTCCTGTGTCGTATAGGCAGTTTACAAACATAAATTGCACAAGGACAAACATCCAGACCCGGAACAATTATTTGTAGGTCATACAAATACTTGTTCCGTGCGGGATTCGAAAACGCGGCCCCCAGCGCAACAACTGATTGCTAAGCCACTGCGC